AGATGCTAAACAGTCGAAACATTATTTTAATCTTTTTTTTAATTTTCCTGCATACAATTAACCTTTATTTGTTCCTTTCTAGCCAACGCAAGCTGACTCAGCTCCCCACTCAAACTAGTGTGTATATATATAGTTTTTATATGTACAAATACTGTTAAAGATATTTTTGGTAACAATTTAAAACAATGGCTCCAATTTAGAAAGACAGCTCATAAATACCACCTGAAGATCTAATGTAGATACCCTGAGCTTTGTAGCTCAATGTTGAATTAACATTTCAAATTAATCCACTTACATTGTAAATTTGATGCACTTGTGTAGCTAGATGAGAATATTAGAATATGTTCTGTTTTCCACCATACACAGTATCAGCAATTGATTTGTTAAAAACTGAATTACCCTGTTTTGCACAAATGAGAAAAGGCATAAAATTCCCCTGTAAATACTTTCTTACTCTCCAAGGGGGCATTTTCTATTTTTAAGTAGGTATTTTCCCAATATTCAGCCACAGCAACAATAACTATAAGAGACTGAAAGTCTGTGAGGCCTCCTGTATTTTTTCTTCTTAGTGAAGACTCCAGGGAACTTCATGGTTGTTGCCCATGAGTTGAACTCTGGTGACAAAGCCAGTGCTCACTGATGCAGCTTCCTGGTGACAAACCACATGTCCTAAGCAGGGTGTCTCCGGAGGTCTGTTCTTCAAGCTGAAGTGTTAATGGAGCTGGAGTCTACATTTGTGTTACGACTACATAAAGTACTGTAGTTTTGTCTTTGTTAACTCCTGGTGTTTCTTTCAATAACCCGTGCATTGCTTTCACAAGTCAAGTACCTCAGTTCTAGCTGTTCAGAGCTGGAGAAACCAGAAATGGTTTTGCAATGTCAAACAGTTCAGATCTATGTCAAGATCTCACGGCCCCTCACAACACTTAAATGTTTATTTAGGTTCCTCACCTTTAAGAGATACTGTACATCGAGCTTCACTGAGATGACTGAACTCTCAGCAATTATGCTTCTTTTGTTTTTTTCATATCCTTTAAATTCTATACGACAACTGCTGGAATTTTGCTTAAAGGCCCCAAAAATATGTAATAAGACTGGAATAAAGTCTGAGTAACAATTGATTATTGTTCTGGTTCAGGGTGACGCTCTGATATTGTAAGTCTGTATCATAGACTGTCTCTCAAAAGTAATGCAATCAGTTCTAATATTTCAGAACTACTGTAAAATATAATTGATTGTAGTGACAAGTCATGAGACATTTTTCTTATGTCTTATCTGTCCTGTCTTGAACACAGAGAAGAGAGTGTTCAGAAAACTTAGCATGCAACACTGTGAACAGGAATTTCCACGTACTTCACAAAACAGCAAAGTGTGAAAATTTGTCTTCTCTCTCACACACTGCACTGCTGTGAACTGTGGGGTATTTACCGCAGTTTAAAATCTACCTATTAACAAATTGTTACATTTCATCTCCATGTCAAACATGCAGATTATTCCTGAGTTCCAGGATGTTTTAGCTCTCCTTCACAATTTTCTTTTAATACACATAGACATTTTGAAAACATTTTTTTCTGACTCCATTTTTTCAGTGGGTATTTTAGCAGAAGCATGCTCACAATAGTGTATCACACGTGTGATTCACTATTTACACAGGAAATGAAATACTTCTGTCAAGTACAAATGACATTAGTACTTGACCGTACCTAACACTACCTAACCCACCTTCAGACGATTGCTCAACACGTCTGCACTGAAATAAAGTTTTCCATTTCTCTTAGCCTTGGGCACATGGCCAGGGTGAAACGAGCATTTTGGCAGCACTTGCTAGAGTAACAGCTTTTACACATCTATCATCATAATAGACTGTAAGAACAATTTAAGATAAGAGGTGGCTGTTTGGACTGCCATGCTGGTGTGGTTGGTGATGGCAGGGATGAAGGAATCTCATCAAGTCATTTTGTAAAGGATTCCTTACTGTCAGCTTCAAAAACATGGATCAGGAACTTGTTCCTAACTGCTACATCTCTTTGTATGATGTTGTCTTGCCTATTAAATGGCCTGAATGCTCATAACCTCAGTTTCCCTTAGAGAGGTGATGTGAACACAATATCAGGTGGTAACATTTTCGAACAAGAAATAACTTGCAAGTCACATGTTTGTTCTGTATGAACAATACTCAAACCCTCCATGAAGTCTTGCAAAGTACCTTTTGCCTTTTATAAGTACTAAAACTTCATGTATCAGTAATGCAGCATTTATTGGATGTGTATTCAACAACCTATGTTTCTGTAGTAAAGTAGTAGTACAGTACATAGCATACAAGTGTCTTCTTGAGACCCAATTCATTAGCAGTATTTTCAGTTATATGGAGCTATGGCAGGTAATTTAAATAAAATACTTTTAATTTATATTAGAATTGATATTTACAGTATATGTAATCATTTTAATTTATCTTAATTGCTTTTTTCTTTTTCCCATTATGAAGTACAGCTAATTAAAATGTAACTGTAAGCTAAATGAACAAACGATTGATGACAAACTCCCCCCTTTAGACTAACATATTGATTGGGCTCTAGATATGGTTATAGATATGGTTCTGTAGTGCCCCGCAGGTATAGAATAATAATGACCCTAAAAGAACAACAGAAGCTTTCGTGCTGACCCATTACCACTTCAATAGCTTTTCCCTGTCTCCTCTCTTCTAGTCTCATTTCCTCTTTCGGCTGACGTAGGCTTTGACTTTTGTTGGCTGGAGCTGGTGGCTTGACGTTGTTCCTTAAACGTGCACGCAATGGAAACCTCGCTTGTGCCTTGACTAAATGGAATAAGCCTCCTGGGATTGGTTTTGATTTTTCCGTACAGTAGTTCTGAAGGGGATGCCCATTTATGGAGGGGATCCTCGGATCAACAGCCAGACAGGCTAGATGGGCCAAATGACTCCTCTCTTTTCTATTCTTTCCTATGTTCTTATGCATCCTGATGTTTAGCTGTTCTGTTTCATATGAAAAAAAATCCAAAAGCTAAAGACATTGCTATGCCTGGATGAGCCAGAGCTTGCAGCCTTCGTTTTACTTTGGAAACCAGGCACATTCCCACAAGGAGCCACATTCCACCCAGGGCTATACAAACTCACTCGGGCTGATTAACGTTGCCACCCTCATCCAATAATTGGGTGCTTCCTCCATCCGACAACACTACTTAAACCCTGCTCTGCCACTGATCTGGCGCTCTGTCATTGAGCTGCCTCCAGACCAAGGTAATAAACCCTCAGCAATACTAACCTGTTTCATCAAAGGATACTTTGCCTGAATCCACCCAAAGATTTCTAGTCTATCCTGAACCCGTTCCGCCTCTCAGCAACCAGTCTCCTGCCCAGCACTGGACCAGTGGCGCATCTCCCTGCCAGAAATCTGTACAGAGGGGCACAGTCTCTCCTGTCTGCATCTGCCCTGAAAGCCGCACTACCTTCGGGTCTTGTGACATGCCAATCGCCATCTTGCTTCCACCATCACCGGCTGTCTTTGTCCTCCCTTGGCCATGTGTGTCAGTGTCTGTGCTCCAAACCATTGCGGCTATCTCCGCCAGCCTCCCACTCACTCTAAGCCCCACCAGGCTTTTTGTATTTGGATTCTCCAGTCTGTCAGCAAGACGTGGCTGTCTCTATCAGCTGCAGCGTAGCAGACACAACCTATAAAAGGTGTTAACTCAGTAATTAACAAGGAAACAAATACATTTTACACTTTAGAAGGTGCAGACATCGAGACCAAACTGTACACTTTGCTGGTAGAATTTTTTGTGCACTTTGGGTATCCATTTCAAAGTGCTGTGGAACAATGGATGTTGCATTTCTAGAAATGGCTTAAAGAAGGGCAACAAGGTCATGCCTTAAGGTTATGTCTTATAAGGACAAGTTTTAGGAGGTAAACCTCTCCTTTCTTGAGGAGTTGAGACTACAGAGTGACTTGATAGAAGGATTGAAATGTTGGGCAACCCCAATAACTTCTTCAAGACCAACACTGACATAGGAAACCAAGGATACAAGTGGAAATCAAGTGGTAGCACCCTCCTTGATAATGATAAACATGTAACACAAAGCTCATCTCACTAGCTGTGATGTAATTTTTTTGTTTGCTTAAAGGTCATTGAGTAGAGCTGCCCAACAACAGACAAATGAAAGGGGTTTGTTACATTTTATTGAAACACAGCTTGGTGAATGCAAATAATTAAAGTAATGCAATCAGTTCTAATATTTCAGAACCACTGTATAATATAATTGATTGTAGTGACAAGTCAAGAGACATTTTTCTTATGTCTTATCTGTCCTGTGTTGAACACAGAGAAGAGAGTGTTCAGAAAACTTAGCATGCAACACTGTGTATCTAATTACTGTTATTAGTGAAGCATGGCTCATGGCAAGATATGAGACTCACATAGGACACTCACAGACACAAACACACACACCAGGGCCAATTTTCCCAGAAGCCAATTAATTCACCAAAATGGCTTTGGACTGGACGAAACTCATGGAAAGAACATACAAACTCTATGCAGACAGCACCCCAGGTCCAGAATTGATCCCAGGGCCCCAGCACTGCAAGGCAGCTGTGCTAACCACTTTGCCTCCATGCTGCCGTATGGTAATCGATAATATAAAAACATATCTTAAAAATAAATAAATTGTGTATTTACATGACCTTATTAAAAAATGATCAGGGAGTGAAACTGGAATGAGAGTCCTAGGATGAGCTAAACATAGTGAAACCCAGCACCAGGCGAAAAGGGGAAATAAGCAGCTGGTGGCTTTTACAAAATGAACTTTGGACTTAAAACAACACAACACCTCTTCATCCACAAGACACATAGCAGTTGCCTCTCAGCTTTGAAGAAGTGATACACCGTGACATTTTCTATTTCAGTTTGCAGAAGAGGAGGAGGTGCTATCAGTCGCAAAAACCCACGAAAGTCAGTGCCTAGGGAGACACAGAGAAGGAGAATAAGCCGATACTAAAATAGTTCTCATTTGCATGTTTGCGCCATCATGTTGGGTTTCAAGTGTGATTTAATAATTTCACAGCACGAGGGGCTGTGAGGGTGTCATGGGTAGGATTTCCCCCGCTTCGTCTCCCACTCATTGGGAACTTCCATGACTTAGGGAAGGAGGATCCCAGCACTATAAGTAAACGGGTCTCCGAATGCCAGAACTCATACCTCCCTCCGATTCTGGTCTTGAGTGTTGCCTCGGCGGACAATCATTGTTCAGACTCTACTCAAGATGTCTTCTCTCCGGCTGGCTGTGTTGACTCTCACTGTGGTCCTGCTCTTTGCTGTGTCTCTCACTGAAGGTAAGAAGCATGGCGTTGCCTACCTAACAACAATTTAGTTAGTCTAATATGTGCTTCTAAAACTGAGCTAAGCATAGCCATAAAACATATCCCTCATCGATTATACTTCACACCTGATTTTGTTTTCCTGCATAAGAAACAACACATTTGTTTTTACTTTTTTTTGTAATTTAAAACAGTCATATACACGGAGCACATCTTTCACAAACGCAGCTCAAAGTATCTTTGCTTGCTGTCTGCCAGTACCAAATAAATCATTACTGTAGTACTCGTTCCAATAGGCTGTTACTGATTTAATCAAATTTGTCTTGTTTCGTAAGAAGAAATTTGCATTCTGTTGCTACACTCTGACAATTTCTCAACATTGTGTCTTTGTCTAGGATTCCGCATAGCAAATGCCCCCAAAAAGTGCTGCTTCGATTTCACCTCGAAAGAGATCCCAATTAAACGAATTTCCAGCTATTCCAGGACCAGCCCGCAGTGCACCAACCCCGGGATTCTGTAAGTATTTATTTCCTGAAAAATCCATGAGCTGCATCTTTGAATATTACCTTAATCAACGGTTTGATGCTTAATAATTACTTTGCACAGCAAGACGAGAATTTCATTAACTTCATTAACAGCTGACAAAAATAGTTTTTTTTTTAACGAGAAACAAAACGGACCTTTTGTTTCACAAACATATTTTAGCTGTCCATGGTTCATTTTTGATTTAGTCAACATCCAGTTAAAATACAGGTATAGAATACACATATGAAACACGCCCATGAAATGCTTCTGTCTCTAAGCTATACAACCACACACTCTACTACTACAACTGAAAGACGATCTCCAGGACAGAGGGAGAAACGCCACACTCATTTGTCACCACCAAACGAAGCTTGGTTTCAGTTTCTTTGCTATGTCGCTATGAGGCCTAAGGTCAGGCCTAGGCCTAGGCCTTCCTGTGTTTCAGGAAGAAGAGAGCTGCAGTCTATGAATAATATCAAAAAGTGAAACAAAGAGAGGAATTTAGAAAATGGCTCAGCTGTCATGTTGCTCAAGAAAATAACATTTTAAGTTGCTTCTAAGAATTTAGCCGAGAGTTAAAGAAGAGTCTTAGTGGAACAGTGACTCACAATCACATTCCAGTCATAGTTTCAACACATGTGTGTGGCTTTTTTCCAAGGATAATATTCAATTGATTTGGGGATTTCTACCACAAATGTGATTTCTTCCCTTCAACCAGAATGGCTGCCGTCTTACCAATTTGAGGACCTATGAGTCATATTATTAAGGGAGAAACAAGCTACAAGACCTGCAAAGCCACAGTGCAGAAATCTGGGGCCCGTGGGGTCGTTATTGCTTCGCAGACTGCCGACATGCTGCTTTGACTTCCTGTACTACTGGGGTTGTAAACAGCGGCACGAATTCATGGGCATTGAGAAGTCTCGTTTGGATACTGCAGCGCTGCCACGCTGGGGAAAGCCCTCTGAAAATCACCCTTTTACCCAGTGCAGCGCACATTTTAAGCTTGAAGGGATGAGTCGTGTTTTGTGACCGTGTCTCTGTGCTCTTTCCACCAGGTTCAAAACAAAGTTCGGCCGTCAAGTGTGTGCCAGGCCAACGGAGAGCTGGGTGCAGAGCCACATCAAGGTTCTCAGCAGCAAGTAACACAGCCTGCTTTCCGATGGGATCTCCGGCGATCTCCTCTGTTTTTTAGCTGCTGCTTTCATACATGGCGATTGCTTTAAAAACATCCGATGGAGCCGGCCGACAGACTTTCACTTCTGTGTTTTACTGACAGAATAAGGCAGCTGAGTGGAAAATGAGGCAAGCTCTGATGCGAGGGCTTTAGTGTTTTCTCTGAGCAATCTTTCCAGAATTTGTTTAGCAGGGGTCTCCTACCTTCAGAACGCTTTTACAGACACATTGACCTGTGTATTGACAGATAGATCGAGCATCACTATTGCAAATTCCCCTGATATATTGATATTGTGATGCTCAAAAGAAATGAAATACAAAACATGTTTGTTTTTAAAGTGTCATATCATTTTAAAGTGTGTTTTACTGTCACTCTCCGGCAGATAGGTATTTACTTGTTAACAGTCTTCCATTACTTTCTGTTTCCTGGGGATTTTGTAATCGCATATAATATATGGTATACTCTAAACTGTTTACTTTTGCCATATTGTGACCAGAAAATCAATTGGTATCATTTACAAAACTATGGCTTTTTTTCTTCCAAGCCTGAAAACCCAGACATAAGCTGTCATTATTTAAGTACAGGTATTTAATTTGATAGATATACAGTGTAGTGTTAAAATGCTTTTATACATGTGTTAACATTTGTTTTTAATACTTCTGTTTTCTTGTGTCATCATATTTTCATTTTTTTGTTTTTTACACACTTTTTTTGTCAGTTATGGAATGTAAAAATGTATAATATGCACAAGGGGAAATCCGCCTAAAATTTGGAAATGACTGTGAAATTAACAACTCTGTGACTCTTAGATGCACTGATTCAAAGATGTGTGTGAAACTTCAAGCTTCTTTTTAATAGTTTTAATGAAAATCTTTGCTTTTGTTGTGGAAACTTATCCTTCAATTAAAGAAACACTGACATGATTTTTTTGTTTCAAAACTCTGTAATTTGAGTCTCTGTTATCATTTGTGTTGGATTTTTACTTCCAGTGTGTGATCCCACTTTAGATCAGAAAAATCGCTGATCTCAATCACTGGAGTTCAATACAGCAAAGCTATACTGTACTGTAGATAACGAACATGCTTTTTCTACTGTTCTGGTCAGACCTTTCTAAAGTTGTCTAGATAGAACACAACACTGGTGTTCTCCCTTCTGCAAATAACCATAAGGGAACAAAGGGGACAGAAGAAGCATGAAGGGAACTGAATTTGGTTCAGCAGCAGTCATTAGTCCTTGAGTGCTCAATTTTTGTAATTACAGTACTTGTTTAATTGTTTAAATTCTTTATATTGCTTATAGAACATGGTGACTTAGAGGCTACATATTAAACCTGCTGAATTAGGGCTCTTAAGGATGAGGTTTAGAGACCCCTGCTGTAGAAATACGCTTTTCTTGTGTACATATATTAAAGGAATACATATTAATGAGCTACTGCTGGGGCACAACGCTAGGAGGCTGTGACTTCAAAGTCTGCCTTTTGAAGATATGAGGTAAAAATCATAAATGTATATACAAGAGATTAGGATGGACTTCACACATAAATAAGGAAAAGGGAGATCAGGCATTGTATACAAGGTTTAAACGATTAATGTTAAGAACAAATTATTGTTTTCACAATATTAAAACTTCATCAAAAACCTATTTTTCTATGTAAAGAAATAAGATGAAAAGTCTCCATGCTACATTAAAAAATCCATAGATGTGATGGCATTTTCTTATCTAGACTGTGGAAAACAGCAATGTGACATCGCCAGTTCTGCAATTACACGGAAACGATGCACCAGTTCATTAGATGGCAAGCAAGTCAAGAAACTGGAATGAATGTGACCTTAAACATCTTGCATTATCCTGGAAAATGTAGACGTAGTACAGGCTGGGTTGAGGGCTTGAATTAAAGGCACCCCCTTGGACATCGCGTCTGAAACAAGATATTTATCTGTCTTACTCAGAACACACACTAGCAAGGAATATCCCAAAAAATGGGGAAAAAAAGAAAAGCATTTCAATTTTTCTTTCTTCAAAAGGCAGTTTTTCACATTACAGCACATGTTGGAAAACAAAACTCCGGGGTTTCTCTATACAGTATGTCTACTATGTTGGCTTGAAATTTGAAACTGGTAGAACAAAGACAAAAAAATCAGCGTGAGGTATTATATAGCCAAGTCTTGAAGTGGCACCCTTTGCCTTCCAAAATGAAACTGTTTATGAATGTTTTAGACAGTACAGTGTCTGTGCATGGGCAGACAGACAGATCACGCACCCCAAGAGTGGAAAAAAGGGGGATATTGGAGATCATCACTGCCATGTGCAATGCTCTGTGAAACAATTAAAAATATGTTGTTTATGATTATGCAAGTTTGATTTAGGATTTTAGTTTGTATGTCCATCAGCCCCACACCTGAGCATTAGGAATTTAACCTACAACGGGGTATTTGTAGCAATTACAGCAGAGGATTCTTCCATGCTGGTTTATACATACTTGATTGTTTTTATTAAGCAATAAAACAGAAAGTGCTTCTGGATCATTAAAATAAGTTTTGAGAATTGAAAGACATTTTTTTATTTCATCTAAAGTAATTAAAATAACCATCTTTTCATTTAAATCTCAAAAAGTTTTACACACTCATAAAAAACTAAGTATTCTTTACTGAGCATGCTATATGGTTTCTATTTGATTAAATTGTTTCATAAAACCAGGTATACAATGTGAAACCTTTCCAGTGTCAATCCTGTGTGTGTACTGTCTCGCCCTGCTATTTCAACTTGGAATAAGGTACTGATTAGAAAATGGGTGTGGATATGCACAATTTCAAGAAGTCTAGAAGAGAAGAGCTCCAGAAAGCCTCAAAGAGTTTCTAGTGGGTTTTTAGTCTTTAGTTCTATAATGCACATTTTTTAAGTTTCTCATGTCAGCAAGGCCTGTTGCATTAGGTTTGTGTAAAGGAAACCTCTTATAGTTTTCCTCTGAAACAAGTTAAAAGTGACACATCTAGGCCTGCAATATCTCATTTCAATGGGATTTCCTTTACTCCCTTTCCAGAAAGCCGCATATGATATTCTTATACATTACAAAACCATATTTCCTTCACAACGTCTCACTTCTATTTTCTACTGTATATGACTTGTGCGGAAAAAAGAGGAATAGCATTTCAATTTTACTGCCTCCTTTTCCAAGTTGAGTGAACCACAAACTCCCTCTCTTGTGTTACTTTGAAATGAGCTATAGGGGGATTTCCTTCTTCACTCCAGCCGTGCCTCTATAAAACAGGGACCAGGTGAACAGAGGAGTCAGAGTCCAGAGCTACATTAGACCACTGTGAAGAC